CCCCCCCCCCCTTTTTTTTAATTAATTATTTTAGAGGCTTCTTATTTTTTTCCTTTTAAAAAACAAACAAAAAAAACCCTAAGCAAAACAAACAAACAAAAAAATCATCTTTTACAAAATTTTGTGTCCAGGTCTTGTTATTGCTCCCAGATGCTGTTGGAAACCTCGGGTGAAATTCTGCCTAAAAGCAGTTTGTGTTGATTTGGTGGGACAAGGATGAGTCTTGACGTTCCCCTTTTTGTTTTATTTTTATTTTTTTTTTCTTTTACTCATTCTTTGGGTTTTTTACCTGTTACCAAACCCAACCTCTTTTGGAGTTGAGGTGTTCTGCTCTTTCCTGAGTCTGTTCTCTGCTTTCCTGCTCCTGGGAGGACACGTTGTTACTGCTCAGGTGGGAACCTTGAGGTTGGTGTGTTTGGAATTCCACGAGATCCTAAAGCTTAGGAAACATCCACTTTCACAGCCTATCACCAGGAAAATCGTGGTTACTTTACAAACTTTAATTTTGTTAAAAGTAGGCTCGAGTCATACGAATTCCTGGGCAGGACAAATGGGTACAAGTCATTAATTCAGTGGAACTAAAGTAAATGAGTATCTGACTCACAGACTGTAAATAGACATTTTTGAGTAGTACCATTTTTTTTTTCTGATGGCTTTTTTTAGGTAAATATGAGCTTTTTTTTTTTTTAAGTAAAAAATGATCTTCTGTCACTACTGGGGATTTGATCCCTTCTTTCTTATCTGACTCATCCAGTCCTGTGTGATGAATTAGGGGGTCTGTGGACCTTAAAGAATTTATCAGCTGCTTTCACACAAAGTGTTGGGCCTTCCATGCACGTTGTACATAGAATTTGTTGCTTTGAGTGAGGTTTTGCTATAGCAGCAGACACTGATAATAATGAGGACTGGAAAAGATCAGGTAACATTTCTTTAAAAATATATATTTTTTTTTTTAGTACTAAAACAAGTTTTTAAAAAACTGTTCTGACACCAAAAAGGGACAAACTGTATTTCTATTTCCTGGATTCCCCCCACTACTCATTTACCTCTAACTAAACCACTTTCATAATCTCTGTTTTTCAATGGAAATGTTAAAATTAAATGAAACTTTTTTTTTCTCCAAAAAAAAATCTCTTGTGATTAAAAAACCGACATTTTATGTTGGGAAAGCAAGAACTGTAGCTGGGTAGTATTAATCCAACTCTCCTGCTTGCTATGGCCCTTCTTTCTGCCATTAATTAAATTTCCTTACCTGCTTGGAGGGTTCATTTCAAGCCTTGTTCTCTGTTGCTTTCCAGTTGTATTTAGGAAGGTGAAATGAATTATTGGAATGAAATTGCTCCCAAGCTGAGCTGTCACAGGTTTGGGGCACGTGGGTGGGTGGGTTTTTTTGGGGGATTCCTGGAAGTTCTGATTGTCTAACAGGGAGAACTGTTTTCAACAGCCAGAGTGACAGGAATTAAACGTGGCAGATTTTTCACTGGTGTGCTTTAATTATGGGATTTTTGAGGGAAAATAATTCTCCTCCACACAAGAGATCATCCCATTCCACCCCTGCCATGGGCAGGGACACCTTCCACCAGCCCAGGGTGCTCCAAGCCCCGTCCAGTCTGGCCTTGGACACTCCCAGGGATGGGGCATCTTTGTTTTTGGGGAGAGGATTCAGTATGATACTATATTTATACCATATTTTAAAGTCTTTTGCCTGATGAATTTTCACCTCAGCAGATGAGTTAAACTGGGGTGA